GATGGGGAAACCGTCAGGTCTGGGGCTTTGTCCAAAAGCGTAATTTTGTTGGCATATTAATGAAATTTCAACTTTTACCTTTGCAAACCTTGGGAAACCATATCCCTTTCAAGTATACCACTTATTTCGTCGTTTTCTTGTTAGTTTGCAGTCGTTTTGCTCCCAAAAAATGGTAAAGCATTAATCAAGGAACATTTTTCAACAAATTTCATCCAAAAACCCCCAAGATTTGAGGGAATTATGAGTATTTTTACAGGCTTGTATCCAAATATCAGCAAAACTATGTTTCCATACACGTTTTTTGCTCATGTCGCCATCTTTTCACCGGTTTTTGCTTCTTCCGGCTGCATAGAATTGTGAAGAATCACTCTAGGAGCATTTTGCATCTCATTCAAGAATTACAAGATTTGAAAGGGATATGAATGATTTTGTGGGTGGGAATTCATGGTTCAGCCACAGCAGTAAACTTAGAAGTTATTGGGCTAATAAATCTCTAGGAATCTCCAAGGGAAACAAATCTTATATGTATGGAAAGAGTACGTAGAATCAAGTCTCATCATAAAACTCCTCCGGATAAGGACAAATCGCCGGAAAGGTGATTGGAGGTCTCCAGCCTGCAAACTGCATAAAGTCACAAACATCCCAACTTTTCTCTAGATTTTCTTCATGATCCCTAGTAGGAACTCATAAGATGTATACCTTGACAAAAAGCCCTCGCAGTAGGGAGCAATATATCTGCAGCCCAAGACATTTCTCCAAGGGTTTTAGGAGTTATGTGAAAGTTGGACAGGGTGAACTAGCATGGTAAATACAGTTTTTAATTTTTCTCTTTTCTACAGGCTAGAATACTTACAAAGGTCCAAATATAATAAAATAAACTCAAAATAAACAAAGAGGAATTACAAAAGAGGTTATCACTTGCTGCCACTAAATAAAACTCTTTTATTCAATAAATAAAAAATACATAAAACTCTTGGGAACAAAAAAACACAAATTGCAAAGCATAAAGTAAACTGCCATAAGCTTACCTCAACTGGACTTTGCACACCCCACTCCGAATCTCCTCCTCCGATTGGGCACGGGATCAAGGTCTATCTCAGATCTTCAAAGTATAGGAAGCCTAAGCTATTAACCCTTTCAAATCAGAGAGCAATGGTGGAACACAAAAGCAAGACCGGGCCGCAATGCCTAAGTATGGTGAGTGCCCCTCTCATGTGCTAGGGTTGGGGCTTGCCCCCAATTTTTCTTTCTCACAAAATATTTTCTATCTAAGGGAGACAAGAGAGAGACCAGAGAGATAGGGGCATGTGGCTCCTTAGAGGAAGAGAGAGAGAGAGAGATGTAATGAATAAAGAGAAGGGTCCCAATATGAGAGTATTTATAGCCTTTCTCTTGGAGTTGGGGTTTTTAAGATTAGCCATCCTTATGAAAAATAGATCCAGACCATTGACCATAGGAGACCTGTGCAGTGAGGGATCTTAGCCTTACAATCCTTAGATCAACCATCATGATTAAAAGGAATGTGTTAGAACATTATCCTTCAGCTTCCTTAATCTAATCCCATCAAATAAATATTATATGAAAAATATATTTCATTTTTCTTTCTTTCCCATAAATTTCTAACACATTCTTTAATTGAAAATAAAAAATCTTTAATTTTCAAAACCTTCCCATCTTGCTTCAAATTGTTTGCCTTGATGGCCTCATCATAAAATAGGAAACTATACACATAAGTGGGGCGTGCCTCTCATGGTGGCCATGGGTGGGCCCCACGCATTTCCCACATCCATTTTATGGTGCGGCCCATGGACCATAATGGGGTCCCATGTGTTTTACTATTTATAAAATATATAAAATGATTTTTAGAAAATGGATTATTTTATTTTCTCTCTGAGTATTAAAATAATGAAAATTCAATTTTAGACTATTTATAAATCCATTTTGAGAAAATAAAATATCCAGAGTCTTCTAAAAATTCATTCTATTAATCTAAAAATCATTTAAAGTCGAATTAATTAATTCTAAATTAATTTGATGGGATTTGGATCCGTCTATGGTAAGGAATATCAAAATTATTGAAGCACATCTTCTACTAAGGATTATAATCCACACCCACTTTCTCAAACTGACCCAGCAATTTTCATGATCCACAATCTAACACAGGGGTTCATGATTGGGCTACCAAAGCCAGCTAATATGTGAGGGGATACAATCCTAATTTATAGATTATAGGTTCCCCCTAGTGACAAGTCCAAGGTCATACAGACCTGTGTTCACACAATTCTATGGTGCATATGGGGGTTATCTCTCACACATGTACATGTATCACCCTGAATGGTGATTTGCTTCCTAATACATCTATCATATATATATGTCGTGTGATGGTTGAAGATAAGGCTTTGGTCGTCGTACCTCCGGGCCTACCAATCACACATCAGGGTCATACAGTCCCTCATCAAGGGATAACCCTGCTAACCCTCATCAATTGTGCACTATGCCCAGGCATTTAGGGTTTTGTAATTGAGAATGGGCTAGGGCTTTGGTGGTAGTACCAACGAGAACTACGATGAAGTTTCTAAGTTCATTCTCACCAAAGGGTGGGGGCCCAAATTCCCACTGTCTTACATTTTTTTTTTTTGGGTTTTGTAAATTTTTTTGGGTTTTGTAACTCAAATAGCCTAGCTCGTCAAACCTACTCTGAGTCTTGGCAAACATCATTTACCAATCTCGGTCCCAATGGACCATATCCCACTGGAGTTCTTCTATATCAAATATTGATTACATAGTAGAAGATGTGCCAAAAAAGGGGGTAAAGGAGATCACAGGTTGCCAAAGAAGTTCGTGTAATCCTCCAGGTTAGAAACAAAATTCAAGGGAAAGGTGATAAAAAATTTAAATCTCTTTATTCAATTTCTTGCTTTATTCCATATGGCACACCATAGTAGTCAAAATATGTTTTAACTATTGATTCCAACTTTCAAAGTTGAAATTTATGAGTATTGGAAAATTAAAATGAAAACAATGTTTGGGTCTTGATTTTAAAAAAAAAAAGGGTGATTAAAAAAAAACAAAAAAAAATATTTTGATTAAAATGTTAGGTGATTTGCAATGAAAAAAAAAAAGAGGAAAGAAAAAAAATTTTAAAATGTGATGTTCTTGGAAAACGAAGATGGAGATTTAAAAAAAAACTGGGGAAACAAAATTGGAGAGCTCTTGATGTGGTATTTTTGCAAAAGTTTTCAAAAAATGAGATTTAAAAAAAAAGAATATCTGAAAGGGGGACATGAGTAGTCCTCATGGGAAATCTATACCTATGTAGGCACAGCAAACATGAAAAATAATTTTTTGGGAAAGAAGAAAAACAGGACACCGCGGTCCTGGTATGTCGTGCCATGGAATGGCATGATGGGAAATCCATGCCTAGTGTTGGCATAGGAAAAATGAGTTTTGAAAAAATGAAAACAGGACATCGCAGTTCTAGTTTGGCATGCCATGGAAAGGCATAATGATGTTGTGAAAAGGTATGAGGGTGCCTAATGAGAAGGCATAAAAAAAAGGAAATTGTGTTTAGAAAAACAGGACATTGAAATCCTAAGTTGTCATGTCATGAAAAGGCATGATGATGCTATGAGAAGGCATAAAAAAAATGGGAGAAAACCATTTTTCAAAAAATGAATTAAAAAGAAAACTAATTGCCGCAATTTGTTTTGTTGTAGATAAGACATCAAGAAATATGACAATTGCTACACCAAAAAGCAAGTTAAATTAATTTTGTCAAAAGCAAAAAATTGAAAAACCAATTTACAAAATTATTAAGGGAGGACCCGACCATAGCCCTATCTTTATTTGTGAGGTAGAAGTCGGAGGAAAAGAATTTTCAGGATCCTATATAGATACGAAAAAGAAGCGCAACACAATGCAGCCTATTTTGCCATATCACAATTGGCAAAAATGAAAGAAGTAATTGAAATTAAAGATGACGAAGAAGAGAAGATTAAGATTGCAAGGGAAGAAGAAATTTGTGAAATGAAGAAGCAAATTGAAAAGCTTGACGCCTTGGTTTCAGCATTGAAGGAGGAAAATGAAGACCTTCGCAATTTTATTGAAAATCATGTACATGAAAATTACAAAAAAAAGGAAAAAAAGGAAAAAAGGAGAAAAGTTTGCATCAAGGAGGAGTGTTAAAGATGATGCAAAAAAAGTGGAATATATGGATAGTTAAGATAGTGGGAAGTTATCTCTATTTCTCTATGTAAAGTGGAATGTATGGGGAGTTAAGATAGTGGGAAAGATAGTGGGAAACTATCTTAACTACCCATACAACACATCCCCTTGATGCAAAATTTTCTCCTTTTTCTCCTTTTTTTTTTAATTTTCATGTACATGATTTTCAATAAAATAGCGAAGGTCTTCATTTTCCTCCTTCAATGCCGAAACCAAGGCTTCATGAATTTCAATTTGCTTCTTCATTTCACAAATTTAAGAACAGATTTGATTTAAAGAGTGTAGAACCCTCTTACTGGCCATAAATGACTCAGTCAATGATGCCTAAAGATATTCACAATGTGTCGGCACGTATATCCATGTGAAGACCATGCAATCTATATAATTAGGAGATCCCACATGCAATTCAAATCCTACATGAGGAAGCTCCAAAACATTTTCCCTTTCAAAATAACATATTGACGGATTCATCTTTCATACTTAAACCAGATGAAACATATCAACAAATTATAAGATCTTCTCTTTCAAATGTTTTCTTAACTTTCCTTTCCATGTAAATATCTGCATGGAAGAAGAAGAAATTACAAAAAATCTCTTCATAAACTACAACAAAATTGAAACAATTCATAAGAGCTATCCGAAACATAGCATTTTTTGGAAATTTTGTGAATCATTTTCCAATATGAGCTTCTATAAATGATTTCTTAATCCATTCAAAGAATAATTTTACTTGAAAAAAAACAAAGGCATTATTTATTCACTATGATATGATTTACCTCATCCTTCTCTAGAATCCCAGTGGCTAGTGCTCGATATGTTTTTGAAATTCTTCTTATATGAAGCTCTTCACTGCTCTGTCTACAACAGCACAAGATGGTCAGAAGAGATCATAGGCACATTGCTAATGGAAAGCATGAATTTGCAACAGTTACATAAATGGTGAAGAGCCATAAACAATAGTGGCCTTTTGATAGATTCCTTCAAAACAACTGGTGCATGACAGTATAGATATCACTTTTGAATTCAAGAATATAGAAAGTACAACAATGAGCAAGAACAGTTATAGCTCTAAGAAACTACAAAGAAACAAAGCGCACAGAAAACGAGCTCAATGACATTTGCAACGAAAATGTTCACATGTAACATGAACGGGGCAAGGCGGGGTTGGAAAGAATGGTTGCAAAAGGAGTTTTAAGCAGGTTCTTGAGTCTCCTCTCTTAAGCAGATCCAACTTCTATTGCTATTGATTTCAAAGGTTGAGGACCAGGCTATTCGATATCTGTGGAAAGTGGATCGCACATCTCTCTCACTCAGAGGCTACAAACAGACTGATGTAGATCATTAGTAAATATACAGTGACAAGTGAGTGATAGGGATCTCTCAGGGATCCAGGTTTTTTGGCCATTAGGATCTTGCTCCCTTTCTCAAGGAAACGAGTGCCCTTTATGTGTCCAACTAGACCCAGACCCAAGCCCGAATAGTATTCAGGTCCATGATTTGGACCCAGACTCGACCCGTTGGTTCCAAAAGTTGGACCCATACCCATACCTGTCGGGTCCCGAGTCTATCCCATTGGGTCCCGGGTCTATCCCATCGGGTCCCAGGTCCGATCAAGTCCATTGCAATCCTCACTATGAGCTTCTCTTTTTTATGCCCTTTTTTTACCGTCATATACCCATATAATTGGCAACAAGGTTGCCATCACCCGCCATTAGATTTCAAGCCGTCTGATTTATCATTTAATAACCAAAAATGACTACGAGTTCTTATTGTATATGATCCTTAATACACTCAAATGAATAAGGCTTGAAGTATTTTATCACCAATAGTTTACAGGCACAAGTCGGGTCCAACCGAACTCAGACCAGAATAGTGCTCGGGAATAGTGCTCAGGTCCACATTTTGAACCCAAACCCGACCCTCCAAGTCCAAATATTGAAGCCATACCCGAACCTGTGTCGGGCATACCTAGCGGGTCCCAGGTCGGGTCCAAGTCCATTGCCACCCTTGGATATGGCTCTCAATCCTAGGAGTCGTCGAATCTAGATTCCATTACACTAGAACACAAGGATCACTATATAATGCATCCAGATTCCTCACAATCCTCCAAAATGAATGCTCGGTCTTCCTTTGCTTAATTTTATAAGCAATAATAAAAAACAAATTATTTCATGTATATATAATTTTGGGCTATATTTTCTTACACATAGCCACTCAAAGAAAAAGATGGCAGCAATGCAGCATAATTTGTACTTAAACCTATAAAGGTCATAACTTATGAAATTAATTGATTGATGTACTATACTAGTATAATGAACCATGAAGTAATTTTTATTTTGTTTTTTGAGGTAAAGGTTAACTTTATATATGTAAAATATGTATTACATCAAAAAACTCTAAAGAAGGCAGCCCACATGTTCGGTGCTCAAAATACGGAAGAATACAGTTGGAGAATGAGGAGAGAAAGAAAGAAAAATACAGTAATAGAGGGTAGTGGAAAAACCAACAACTCGAAAGAAAACGAAAAAGTAGACGGTGGCACAAGAGGAAAGAGCCTGTGGAAGCCTTTTACACTGCTTAAACAGTTACGTCTTGAATGGGCGCTTTGTTTGGTGTTGTCACAGAAGTAGTGTAGGACCTCGATTTACTTCTGCCCATAGAGACCCTGCACGAAAAGCAACAAGGGAGGGCAAAAACAGTAGAAGAGGAAAAGCAAGGGGTAATGAGATGAAGAGAGGAGAGGAGGGTATGAGATTGAAGGGTACGAGAGAGATTGGTGATGAGGGTGGTAAGAGTAAGGAGTTAGGAGAGAGAATGGGGTGATAAAGATTAGAGTCGAAAAGAGTGGCATGTAGAAGAAGGGCTCTTGAGAAGAGAGGGGAGGGCTGAGGGAGAAGGGTGGTTACACAAGAGTATAGAGAGAGGAAGAAGAAGTGAGAAATTAGAGAGGGGACGAGCTGCAAACAGGGGGAGCCTTTGTTTCTAGTCTTTTTTCTTTTTCTCTTCTTTTTTTTCTATTTTTTATTTTGTTTTTTTCGCTTTTTCATTTTTTTTCTCTTTATTTCCATTGTCTCCACTTTTTTTATTGTTTCCTAAATTTTTATTTTTTTTTTTATTTTCCTCTCCAATGAGAGATGAGGGAAGAGAAGTAGAGGAGACGACATCAATGATAAGGAAGGAATTCCACAGGTCTCTCTCACCTGAACTGAATTTAGTAACAACACCTGCTATGCTCAATATGCGAACAATTTACTCTTCTTTGCTATAAAATAAGATTTGCAAGAGGCAGGGGACGTCCAAAATACAATAATTCATGGCGGAATTGCAGCTCTACACAACAACCAGTGTACTCACAAAAAAGAGTCAACAAGCAGCCATCACATTAGGAATACTTCTAAAAGTGTTAGAACACAAAGAAATGATACGTCTACATGCATCGTTAAAACGAATTCAAAAAAAATTAGGAAAGCTCACTCAGCAAAGCAACAAAGGAAAGAGAACATTGGAAAAATGACAGAATTTCAACCTACAAAAGAAAAAATCAAAACCTATTTAGCAACCTACTGCACGTGCGAAAAGTTGAGAATTAAAAGCATTCCTCAAGTTATCATGTAAAAAGTTACATTCAAGTCTTGAAAACAAAGAAAGATAAAAATCAACAAAATCAATTTATTAGCAGCAAAGATATGGATCGACTATTTCAAAATTCTTATATTAAATATACAGGAGAGGGAGAGGATTAGAGGGTATCGAATTTCAAGGGATAGGCGGTGCACCTATGGTATTGTGCACTCCTTCCATGGCAACCTGTCTGCTTCGGTGTTGGCCTCTTGAAAGATGTATGCTTGAAAATAACCTGTGGGATCGAGCTGCAAAGAACATAGATATGCTCAAATGTAGAGTACAGGTGCCATGGCAGTTGTAGTCGGTGAGTTCCCCAAAGGATAGTGTTGCCGGAGTCAGATTCAACTATCAGTCCTTGGAAGTGAGATCCAATTTGAGGCACTTAATTGAGGCCTTCTAGGAGACCCAATGCCTCAGCAGTGGTGGAGTCCCAATATGTTCCGTAAAGGAAATGAAAATGCCAATTGAATTTTCCAAGGTGCCACCACTGCCAGAGGGTTCAGGATTTCCTAGAGATGAGCCATTCGTATTGAATTTGCGATAGCAAGCGGGGGGGAAGTCCACTCAGCTCTAATTCTTGTGCATGGGACTGAGAGGTTCAAGAGGGATTCCCAGTTGGCTAGGAAGTGGGAGATGGGGAGAGAGGCCAGCACAGGGATGAGCTAGATTAAGGTAGTGACAGTCAAAGATGGAGTATTGACACCTCGTAATGCCTCTAAAGGTTCTAGAGCTCCTCTTGAGCAAATGGTTCCAAAGGAGTGCAGCAACAGATAATTGCCGTAGCTTTCTCCCATTTTTAGAAAAAGGTGAAAGGTGGGGATATGAAGGCTGAGAAAATATTATCAAGTTAAGGGGGAGTGACCCATTGAAGGCCAAAAAGTTTGAGGAAGGCGAAAGAGTTTGATGAGAGAGGACCAGAGGCAGGAAGGGACTTCACAGTGAATGAAGAGGTGGGGGTTGTCTCATCATCTTGGAGACACATGATGCAGCGGTTGGGTAAGGAGAGCCATTTTCGCTACAGTTGGTCTAAGGTATCGGTTTTACCTTGCAAGAGCACCCAGATGAAGGCATGAATTTTATGAGGCACCAGCAGGGACCAGGTTTTCTTGAGACAGGGTGAAGGGGTCAAGCTAGTAAGGAAAAGTAAAAAGAGGAGACTAACAAAATACCAATAGAGTTACGGGTCGAGATGATAGAGTCATGATAGAGGTGCGAGCATTTGAAGAAGGGAATTCAAGGAGTAGGGTTCCTGGTCAGGGAGGTTCCTCCTAAAAATAAGTGTCCAGACCAAGGCCGACCCTCTAAACTCTACATAGTAGGGAAGCACAGCTGCTTGGTCATAACCCAGGAGGTACATGGAGGAGATGACATGCATAAGGGGTAGATCTTCGATCCATTTGTCTATCCAAAATCTAATTATTTGGTCATTCCCAACCCTAAATCTGATGCAAATAAGTAAAACATTCTTACAGGAGGTTATGCACTTCCAAGCTCCTGAGGATCTATGGGAGGGGGGTCTAGGTAGCCCCCTATCATCTCCAAAGACCATACTTGGCTTGGATGACCTGTTTCCACAGGAGGGGGTGGGGGGAGGAAAATTTCCACCACCATTTTCCCCAGCAAGGCTAGGTTCATTGTTCTAATCTTTTAAATGCCCAGTCCTCCAAATTTCTTAGGGGCGCAGACTTTATCCCAAGCTGCTAGATGGAATTGGCTACCAACAGAACCAGACCACAGGAAGTCTCACATGAGCTTCTCTAAATGTTGAAGTACTAAGACGGGGATTTGGAAGAGGGACATGTGGTAAATGGGGATGTCGGCTAGGGTTGGTTTGAGAAGGGTGATTCTTCCTCCAAGGGAAAGGAACAGACCCTTCCAACTGGCAAACTTCTGTAAGATTTGCATGTTTTCATCCAGCTTAACTTGTGCAGCCTCAAGTTCACAAACTAAAGTTCTGAACTATTGTATAAGCTCGGTTAATTGGTCTCCTTTGTTCATCTTCAAGTTTGAATATTGTTTCAGAACAATAGTTTTCCTAGTGAGAGAAGGAGAGGCATAATAGGTCTCAAGACGTTAATGAATCTCCTTTGCAATCTTCGGGTGCTCATACTTTAGAGTATGGGTGTCAACCATGGCCATATTTAGAACATGCTTTACTAGAGTATTTTTGCGCTCGTACTGAGCATAAGCATCTCTTATGGACTAGCTTTCACAAACATTACCTCTTGGGGTAA